AAAAATTTTACTTCTTGTAGATAATGCACTATCTCATAGTTTGTTTAAATCACCTAATGATATAAAAAAAAATATTATTAATATAGATGTTAATAATAGTTGTCAATTAGATTTTGAAAATAAAGAAAATTCTGTAAATAATTATTTTGATTTACAAATTGATGATGAAAATGATAAATAGCAAAGTAAGTTAAAACAATAAAAAAAAAAAAAAAAAAGTATTTATAAATCAAAAAACTATTATATTATGATTGAAGAGCACCAAAAACCACACAGAAATAGAAGCAGAAGACCCTGTAGAAACCCACACAGAAGCAAAAAACCCTGTAAAAGTGAAAACAGAAGATTCTGAGAAAGTAAAGCAGAAGATCCTGCAAAAGACTATGAATTTCTAATGCTGAGTCTTCATATTAACAAAATAAGAAAATATCTTCTAAGATATTAAAATTCTCAAATATTACTTTGTATTATCTTCTACCAAAAACAATAACATATATTTAGCCCATAGCTGCTAATATAATTAAATCATTTAAATCAAAATACAAGCATCTATTGTGAATATATTCTCTAGCAATTCAAATCTGGTATTGATATAAAAGAGTTTGTATAAATCTTATTGTAAGATCGGTTGAAACTAATTTGCATTATTTTTGAAATATAAATTCTCTAAAACTTATATATATTTTTTATAACAAATATCAGCTTAAATCCTAATCTAACCTTAACAATAAACCAAAAAAGATATATGCTATCAAAGAAAAACCTGCTATTAGGAAGTCTGATAACAGGTTTTTCTTTAATGATACTTCTATTTAAAGATTTGAATTTAACCATCTCTAATTTGTTATTATTTTGCTAACATAGTTTTTTCTTATATAAAAAAACTAACCATTAAAAAGACAATTGATGTTATTGCAAATTTATGAGATAGTGTAAATGATACAGTTATTTAAAATTGTTGGCTCAAGACAAAGATTCTTTCAAATACAAATGAATCAGAAATAGATACTATAGTTCAGTATATTGAAAATGATATTTTATTAGATAATAATGAAATCAAAAAAGTTATTACTAAGTTATCTTATAAGAACATGTATATACCTAAAATAGCTCAGGCTATAGCAATATATGTACAAGTAGTTAATGATTCTATTGCTACAGAAGAAATACTTAATGATAAAAAAATTATTGCCATAGTTCAAGGTGAGGAAAATGAGGAAGAGCCAACTAAACAGGAAATTAAAAATAAAGATGAAATATTTGATCCACCTGTAACAGCTGCTAAAGTATATAATATCATGCAAACTGTTATTTGCTATGAAGAACAAGAAAATTCAGAATTAACTATTATATTAAAGAAATTAAGATTTTTAAGAAATTTGCTTAAGAAATATAAATATATATATGCAAAATCAAAAAAGCAATTAAAAATTATTAGTTTTTTAATTGCCAAACTTCAAACCTTTACAATTCATTTACTTATAATCAATTCTCATGATTCATCCTCTCATAATCTCTATAATTCATTCTCGTATGATTTATACCTTTCAGATTTATATTTACAAGACTATTCTCAGAATTCTTATTTTCAAGACCTTCAAGACCCATATTCTCAAAACCCATACCCTCAAGATTTGTATTTTCAGAACCTATATTCTCAAGATATATATTCTTAGAACCCATACTCTAAGATTTATATTTTCAAAATTCATTCCTTTAAGATTCATATTCTCAGGATTTATATCTTCAAGATTGTATTCACAAGATTCATAGGATTTATATACACAAGATTGGTACTTATATGATTTGTACTTTTCTTATTCTCAATATTTATCTTTCTAGCTACAAAAAAATGATATAAATAAATCTTATAAAATTATTTATGTTAAACAAACAATTTATTTAAGTATATTATACATATTTAATATATCAATATATTAAATGTAAGCAAATTTTTTTGTCCAAAACAATAGACAAACTAATTACTATAATTTATATAACTTGAAAGAATCAAAGATTAAAATAATAGCATATGGTAAAAAGTTAACCAGTAACTGAATAAAGAGACCTGACCAAGAGGTCACCTTAATATTAAAAAAAAAAAAAAGATTAAAATAATAAAAAAAAATATATAGTAAAAAAAAAAAAAATTTGATATTTTATATATGTAATCTAGCTTTTAAAATCTATAACTACTACCGAAAATAATCTATTAGACTCAGTTTAAATTTATAAATTAAGAAGCCCTTAGTTGGAATTTAGAATAGTTTTAATTAGTACTATTTTGTAGCTATTTCTATTATCTCATCTTAAAACCTATATTCTATTTAGTCTTTTAGCATATAATTATTGCTTTGCTCTTAAAAACTTAAATATTAATTTATGTAATTCTATATTACAGATTTCTTTGATCTCTTGACTGGCTGTGATATAAAAAGAATTAAAGACTAGTCTATTTTAAAATACTATGTTGATCACACATAATATGTCATTTAAATATTTGATATTCTATATAATAGTAAAGTATTTAAGCTACCTTTTTATAGTCACCAAATTTTTTATTTATTATAATTGTGACTATATAAAAGTTATTTTATTTTTTTTTTTTTTGATGTTAAGGTGGCCTCTTGGCCAGCTCCTTTTATTCGGTTATAGTTAACTTTTTACAATATGCGTTTATAGCATCTCGTATACATATTTGGAGAGTACATACTAGTCACACGTACAACTTTTGGTTGCCTGTTTTTATTTATTTATTTTTTTAAATATATTAAAAATACAAATATTTTAGATTTTTTATTTTATTTTTTTGTTTTCTATTTCATTAAAAAAAATTTACTTTTCTAATTTAGTTATCCTACTTTTGTTTATTTAAAATTAAATTATTTAAAAAATTTATACAAATTTCTATAATTATTGTTACGGATTATCGTAAAATCAGATTATCGTGAAATTTGGAGATCTCGATTTGAAAATATAAGCCCTACCAAAATTCATCTATACTCTTTTATTAATAATTCTAACTCTAAATCCTAACTTAACTATAAAAAAAAAGCCTACAAAAAAGGTCCTAAAAATTTTTAAAAATCGTATATAAAATAGATTCAAATTTCACAATAATCTGATTTCATGATAATCTGTGACAATTATTATTGATCTAACTAAAACAAAACTTGCTAACAATACCTTCTCTTAACACTTCAATCTTCCATATAGATAATAAACACGAAGCAACATTTATCAAAATTATCCC